GATATACTATGCGACAGACAGGGGAAGAGAATTGATAAAGTGTGAAATAGCTATGCGATAAACTATGTGACAAACATAAAGTACGAAGCAATTATGCGGTGAACTATGCGACAGACAAAGTGAAAATAATTGATAAAGTGTGAATAGTTATGCGATAACCTATGCGACAAATAAGAGAACATGATTTATAAATAGTTATGCGATAGATAGGCGAACATAATTTATAAATAGTTATGTGATAAACTATGTGACAAACAGGCAAACATAATTTGTAAAGTCTAAAACAATTATGCGATACAATATGCGACATATAGGCGAAGATAATTGATGCGAAAAGTTATGTGAGAAAACAAAGATAATTGATTAAGTACAAAATAGTTATGTTATAAACTATGCGACAAACAGACAAACATAATTGATAATATGCGAAACAATTATGCGATAAACTATACGACAGACAGGTATAGAAAATTGATATGAAAATCTATGTGACAGAAAGGTGAAGATAATTGATAAAGTGCGAAAATATTATGCGAAAATCTATGCGACGGACATGCGAAGATTATTGAAACGAAAAAGTTATGCGACAAACAGAAGAAGAAAATTGATGCCAAAAGCTATGCGACAAACATACGCAGATAATTGATAAAGTGCGAAAACATTATGCGACAGAGATGAGAAGATAATTGATAAAGTGTGAAATATTAATGCTAAAAGATATGAGACAGACATGCGTCGATAATTGATAAAGTGGTGAAATAGTTATGCGATTAACTATGCAACCAACATGCAAAGATAATTGATGCAAAGAACTATGCGACAAAATGACGAAGATAATTGATAAAGTGAGAAAAAGATATACAATAAACTATGCGACAAACAAACGAAGAAAATTGATAAAGTGCTAAAAAAAAGTAATGCTATAAGCTATGCGACAGATATGTGAAGATAATTGATAAAGTCCAAAATTGTTATGCAATAAACTATTGACACACAGAACAACATAATTTATAAAGTACAAAACACTTATGCGATAAACTGTGTAACAGACATGTGAAGATAATTGATTCAAAAAGTTATACGACAGATAGACGAAGATAATAGATAAAATGCAAAAATGTGATAAACTATGCAACAAATGGATGAACATATTAATAATTGACTTTCGAGTTTGATCCAGCTTTAGTGCGCATGTAGCGTATTTATTATAGTCGTTCATATGGGATAAAAATGAGATTGAGTTTATTGTATATGCTTCTGATATAATTGGCCGAGTTAGTTGTTCAACTATATGTTCTGTAGATATTTTTCGATAATTAGAGATGGATGAATCTTGTATGTACATTTTTTAACAATTTGTGCAGTAGCCATTTGTTAGGTATTGGCATTAAAAAAATTATTATTTATTAAATATTTCAATTGAGGTTGTTGATACTGCACTTTATATTCTTTTAATCTTAAGAGATCTTTCACTTTAGATTATCAGAACAAAAACTATTATTCCAATATTTATTTGTTTATATATATATATATATATATTGTGTGTGTGTGTGGTATGTGATGCTTGTGCTGAGGGAATCTGTGTCGATTGTATTGTTAGGGATTGCATAGCAGGTCGCTTATGGAGATATTGTCTCTAATGGAAGTCTAACTTCTTATTTTTTACCAACAAGTGAGCAATGCTATTGACAACATATTGGAGTCTAAGTCATTTGTTAAAAAAAATGGTTTTATACTGAGGCGTGCAAAAGCTATCGGACTTACAAAGGTACATGCAAAACAAAACTGAAGTTTTTCATTTGAATAATGAGTTGGTGTACTAATACCATGCGATCTTAGTTCCACCCGAGTCTTTAGCCATCGTACCTATTCAAAGTGCATTGGATCCTTCAAACTATTAGACTACATTATACGATGATTTTTAGTAAATTATAAACTTTATGTTATGTACATGGACAAAGCATTGACAAATAGGAAATCAATGGACTCTACAGATTCGAACAACATGGATGAAAGGCATACTAAATTTCAGTACCACAACTTTAGTTTAGCGCTTGCATGAAATGCCACATAAATGAGGAGCTTCAAGTGAGGTCGAAATATAGCGCAGTTCATGCAATCAGAGTGTTCAAATTGAAGCGCAGAGTACTTTTTCTTATATGCTTACACCATGGTCATAAAACTTTTCATTTTCTCATAACAAATGACAATTGCAAGTGAGACGGGATAGGATCTCAGTCAGAATTGATGACAGTACGAGATTCATTCCACCAATTGTCTGTGGCCAATATGTTGAAAGTCTAATCAAATACATTGGACTCTAGTTGAAGGTAGCTGATAAAAAGGTCAGCTCAGAGTAGAAGTTAAGTTACCTTATAGCAATGAAATAATTCGTACATTGCTTGTGAGAGATATGAGCTTAGTGCGAGTTTAATATTAGCATTGGATTTTTACGTGCTTTAATAAACACAAAATTGAATTACACTTTAGGTAGCCATATGTTCCGATAATTTAATTATCAATATTCTATTATTTTGGAAAAAAGAACATCATCGACTCTTGTTTTAAAACTCCCTATGAATAAAAATTTATTTTTTAAACAATTGTGTCATTTTATATAAGGTTGCTATTTTCTCACCTTTTATATAGGTTTTTGGTGGTTATAGTAATCTCATATCTTTCTTTTGCCTCAGTTGCCCAATAATTCTCCATTTTTTCCATTTAAAACTAAGAACGTTTCTATTGCTACATTAAAAAAAAACCAGGTTTAATTATGTTCATTTGGCTTTGTATGTACATGGTAAAATATTTTTGCGAACATTGTCGTTTCTATGGACGAAAAACTTGTTGCCCACATTTTGAAAATGTTTCATCCTAATGGCTTCCAATACACTGTTGTAAAGTTGTACGTGATTGATGGCGAGGCAAGTCACAAGCCTGCTGAAGGGAATGATCTTGGTGTTGCTGCTGAGCCCACGTAGTTCCCATAAACAGTCATAAATGTTGGTCACCAGAAGAAACCACACACTTACTTTATATATGTGGTGCATTATGGGAAGTATGAACAGTCTGCTTTTCTGTATGAACTATAATTGCAGCTTAGAACTATGACCCTATACAAATGTGGGTGGATTTTATCTTGTGACTGCCATTTGATTTGTTGTTTCATCGATATTTTAGAATTTGTTAAGAATCTTTGGGCCAAAGAACTTGAGGAATTCTAACATGTGCAAACTTACAGTGAATAGTGTGTGAAAAGTTTTTGGTAATGAAGGAATTTATAACCCAAAGAATGAGTAACAGTGTGTGTAAGAGAAAAATTCAAAAAATATTAGTGTTGTACATTCACAAAAAATTGAACAAGATGCAGAAATTTTTCCTTACTACCATATTCAATTTCAAGCAATTTAATATCTATATAATGTTGTTTCTTAAAAAAATGGCATTATGAATTACTTATCTGTGTTTTTTAGTCTTTAATTATTAGAGTATTATACTACATAACAAAAATACTAGTTTTACTCATGAAAAATAGTGCTATTAGAGAAATTATGAATGACAATAGACTTGTGGAAGTGTTCTTTTGCACGTTCAAACTCATCCCTAATGAAATAATTACTTTCAAAGCTAAAACTTAATGCATGTTATGATTTAACTTCGTTAGTAATTTATTATGTCATCAAGACCAACTCTGGATTTCCTATGATGAAGCAAGTATTGTAGTTTACTAATGCCTTACTTTTGACTTTACTTTCCACTGCTACTTAATGCATTTGAATGTGATTTGGAATCTATCTTTTTTGGTGGTGGCGCGTGTTGATGTTAATATGTTTAAATCATCGTCGTCTTTGTTGTAAGTGAGAGCAATCATATGTTGATAATTGGATGGTAAGAGTCAAACTCAATAAATTCATAAAAGTTATATATATATTCTTCTAGCTAATGAAGCAATAGAGTAGATTCGAATAAATACACATGCATCACTTCGTTTCAACAATAGTGGGTGCATTAGTCATTTTTAATAAATTGAACAACGTATTTTCGGAACAATGTATAGTTCAACAATTACATACGAGAGAAGAGTAATGCATCTAATGCTTTTTGCAATACAACTTTATCGTTGATCTATTGTATGACCAGAACTAACGAGTGGTTTTAACTTTTAAATGCTTTTATAGTTGAATTTTAATATTGTTTTACTTTTATCTTTCAACTATAGAGTCGATGGAAGTACATAAAATTTAGACATTAAGCTAAATTTCGATTTACTCCAATGCCTAAAACCATAATTGAAAATTAAGAAGTCATTATTTTTGTTAAACATTACACGAACAAATAATATAGGAAGATAACTATATACTAAAATTAATACTCAATGATTAACATACGTTTGCAACACGTAATTTGATTATAAATTAATTACATACTTAATCATAACAAATATTGAACCGACTGTGCTGTGTGCAGCCGAAAACAAACTAGTACTAGTACATACATATATATCCACTTCCAAATATTGACTTGGAGCATCAGAGCTTCTAAGCAGAGACAACCCCCAAAGACAGTTTGAAAGACGTTGCACCGGATCGAGACTGTTTAGACACCAACTACTCTTTTACTAACTTCCATTAATTTATCATTATTAATCTACTTATTTTATATCACATCCATTTTAGAACAATATATTTTATTTAATATTTCTGAACAAATTCAAAAAATGAATTATTCATTCTTCATCCCAATGTATTCCATATTATTTGAACTTTTTATACGATTTTTTTTTTTTTTTT